AAAAAAAGGATAAAAAAGGGTTTTTCTTTTTAAGTAGAGACAAAAAATAAAAATGAACTAAGAAGGAATTAAAAAAAAAACATCTTTTTAGCTCTCTACTTAAAAGTCTTTTTTTAGCCTTCTACTTTAGAATTTTCGTTATTTAATGGGATATTTGTGCAAAAAAAATTATGAAGATTAAAAAATGGTCAGATGATAAACTTTATGGATTAAAAAAAGATTTTCTTTAAGTAGAGGTACTAAAAGGAAACTTTTTATTAAATTAGAGGACCAAAATGAAGTTTAAATCTAATAATAATGGGTCGATGACAATGAGCAATACATATTCACAGTTGACCTTCCTCAAGTTAAGTAAAAACTTGAAGATCAGAAAAAAAAGAGGGGAAGAAAATGGAGTATGGTGAAGAGATAGGCATCGTTATAGTTGGAGGAGGGATTTGTGGTTTGGCTACCGCACTTGCCCTTCACAGGTCCATTTCTTCTTTTTCTGTTTTTCATTAATTGTTATCTAAGACATGTATTTGTACTTTAAGTCGTACGTGTTGTTTAATTAATTAGGAAGGGAATCAAAAGCTTAGTTCTGGAAAGATCGGGGACTCTTCGGGAAACCGGAGCTGCTATCCGTGTTCGTCCCAATGGGTGGCGTGCTCTTGATCAGCTTGGCGTTGCTTCAAAGCTCCGCCAGACTGCTCTTCCCATTCAAAGGTCATTCAATTCAACCCTTAATTAGGGAGCTAGTTAGCCCCCTACCTCTCTCGTATTCATGACTATCATCTCTGTTTATACAGGCAACGTGACATATGGCTTTACAGGAACAAGGAAGAAACTATAGAACCTCAGTAAAACTTCACTCTTTTTCTGTTTTTAATTTTTTTTTTCTTCATTACTACATCGGTTCCATAATAACAGTTTTTTTTTTTAACTAAATTGTTAATTTGATTGCCCTCATTTAACAATCTACAACTTGGTGAAGAGAAAACTGAGTTGAAATTAACTTGACAGGAGTGAGGAAGCTCGATGCCTTCTGCGCAGTGATCTTGTCACAGCTATTGCCGAGGGTCTCCCTCATGGCACCATCCGTTTTGGATGCCAAGTGCTCTCCGTTCAACCTGATCCTTTAACTTCATACCCACTAATTCAACTGCATAATGGAAGTGTTATCAAGGCCAAGGTATGTATGTATATATATGTACATTTTAATTTAATTAATTAGGGTAGATTCAATTTTTTAAAACAATCTATTAATTAATTTCTAGAATGGAATTACTTGTCTACAAATATATATACTGCCTGCAGATTTTGATTGGATGCGATGGAGCACATTCCGTAGTTGCAGATTTTCTTGGGTTGAAACCACCAAAGCTTTTCGTCTTATGGGCAGTTAGAGGTCTAACGTGTTACCCCAGTGGTCATGGTCTACCAACAGAGCTTACTCGGTTTCAAGGGGAGAATTTCATCATTGGAAGAATCCCGATTGATGATAAGCTTGTCTACTGGTTTGTTTCCAACCGAGGGTATCCTCCAGGTACCTTTTGCTATTACTTAGTATAGTATTACTTGAATGTTTCGACTACCCACCAAGTACTTGATTAATTTTAAAACCATGCATACATGTAGATTAGTACCTTTTCTTATTACCTGTCACTGAAGCCCTGATTCCTGTGTTAGTCATGCAATGCAATTTCATTTCACTAATTAATTTTTGCTTTAATTTATGCAGTTATGTGTTGATTTTTTCCATATTTTATGTATAGATTCAAATATTTCAAAGGATCCAGAATTCATTCGAGAATTCACAGTTGAATCAATAAAAGCCTTTCCTGAAGAAATGTTAGACATGGTGAGAAGGAGTGATCCAGAAAAACTGACCCTCACTCACATAAGATATCGTGCACCATGGGACATACTACTAGGCAAGTTTCGAAAAGGAACAGTGACTGTAGCTGGGGATGCCATGCATGTAATGGGTCCATTTGTAGGGCAGGGTGGCTCTGCAGCTTTGGAAGATGCAGTTGTTCTTGCTAGGTGCTTGGCACAAAAACTTCATCAAGTTGATATAAGTGCAGAAGGTAGGCAGATGAGGATAATACAGAATGTTATTGGGGAGGCAATTGATCAATTTGTGAAAGAAAGGAGAATGAGGCTGCTGAAATTGTCTATGCAAACTTATCTCTTGGGTTCACTACGCCAATCTTCTTCCTCAATTGCAAAGTTTGCTACCATGGCATTGATGATGGTTCTTTTCAGAGATCCAAATGCTCATACTCAATATTACTGTGGAGATCTGTGAGACTTTGTTGCTTATTACGAAACCAATTTGAGGGGCTTATTGTTAGTATTAGAATTAAGACTTGTGTGTGAGTATTGGGCAAAATTGAGTTCTAGCTTATGGGTTACCTTGGTTTGTTACTATTGTAATCTCTCTTTTGCTGACTTCACATGCCCAATGCAAATAGCTTAGGAGCTTAGACCATTAATTGGCTCCCTTTGTGTTTGCATATATGTTGTTAGAAAGCTCTCTGTTTTTTCATCTTTCCCAAAAATGCTTAAAGACCTAAGTAAATTCATAAAATTGGGTCGCTCTATCATAATATTGTTGCAAATATTGTATACATGACTTGTATAAAAAAAAATTAATAGTTTCATTAAAAAAAATCAACTTACAAAAGTAAAATAATAAATAACACCTCATTGACGATGAAATCACATTTTTTTATGAGGGAGAAACTGAGCTGTATTTATATCTACATTGTTGGAGATGCAAAAAAGGAGATTAAAGGGAGGAGGGAAACGGAGTGTGGAGAAGAAGAAATTGACATTGCCATGGCTGGAGGAGGGATATGTGGTCTCTCTGCAGCCCTTGCTCTTCACAGGTCAATTTCTTGTTTATGTCTTTTTCAAAATTTCAAATACTAAGCAGATGCAACATTGAAATTTATTAATCTATGTAGAAAAGAAAAATATTGCAATTGATGTATGGTGTTAGCATTTAGGAAAATTATTATTTCCTTCCCAGCTTGGATACCTGGAAAGGCCCAAAATGTTTCATTTGCTAAAGTAGCCCAATTAAGAAACAGCCCAGTGGAAAGGCTCACACACAATGGAGGCCCACGAAAGATAGTTAGCCATTTGTTGGGGTTTTCTGTTGAATAAATTTTGACAGTTAGGAGATGAAATTGATATTTTAACCTATTATTTCCTTCCCAACTTGGGATGCCTAGAAAGGCCCAAAATGTTTCATTTGCTAAAGTAGCCCAACTAAGAAACAACCTAATAGAAAGGCCCAAACACAATGGAGGCCCACGAAAGATAACTAGCTATTTGTTAGGGTTTTGCGAATGTATAATTTCCTCTCGCTGCTCCCCTTCTCCATTGTTGCTTTCATGCAAATGATAATAGAAGAAGATGGCTGTATTCCTTTTCGGCAAAAGGTGCAAATCACCCCCTAAACTCAACAACTGGTGGCAAATCAACCCCTCAACTCATCTGCAGTGGCAAATCAACCCCTATGTTAAGGCTTCCGTTAACATTTAACGGTCCACTCATCAACCCTTCCTCTGTGTCTTACTTGGCCCTTTTTTTTGCTGAGATGGATGCTGAGGTGGAGGCACACCTGGAAAAATCACCTCAAAATCAATAGATTAAACAAAATTCTTGGTGGGATGGCGGATGGTTTGCAAAATCCCTAAGGTGTGAGAAATTGGGACTTTTTCTGGGGTTAACAAAAAGATTACAAATCTGATTTATAAGGCAAAACTATAAAGACATAGAGAAAGTACACAAACACATGCTTTTGAAGAATTCTTTAAAAGATTCTGAAAATCACAGCTTTTGAAGGCAATCGGTATGGATGTTGAAGCAGTGATCTTGTTGTTACTTTGGCAAATCTCAATATTTTTTCATAGTAAGCATCACTTTATGGAATATTTACATGGATTTGCTTTGAAAAGTGGACAATTCTGTTTTGTCATTGATACATGGTTAAACAATTCAAAAGTGTATTTTTTTTTTTTTGACATTTACAATGCCATGTTTGTTGTGTGGTCCCAAGCTTCTTGTTTATTTTGAACATAAACTGCCCAGTAGTCCCACATGCTACTTAAATTATGTCTTTCCACATGCTTCTTCTTCTTTTCTTTTTTTTTTTTTTCATTTGTCTATACATGTTTGTACAATTTTTATACCTACAAACTGAATACACTGGAGTGATGACCATTTATCATGGGGGAACTTTTGAGCCTGGCCCACCCATTGATTATGTTGGTTGTAAATTGTCTTCATTTGGTATGCATGAAGAAAAAGTTTCAGTGGCAAAAATAATTAGTATGGTGTGTGGGTTAGGATATGAAAATGGTGTTGCCAATTCCATCTATTACAAGTCCCCTCTTCTTAAATTAGATGAATTGAAGTCACTTATCCATTTAGGTTGCATTGATGACATTGTTAGTATTATTTGGAAAACTTGTGAAGCAGAGTTATATATTGACCATGACTATGAGGGTCAAAATTCTGTTGATAAGTTGGTTGGTGATGTGCATGGATTTGGTAAGGGTATTAATGAGAAAATAAATGAAGATGTGGGGGTCATTACCCAAGATGCCAATGAAATTCCTGCACCTATAGAACACCATTCTGATTTTGCAGCTCATGCATATACTGATGACTCTATTAATGACTCTATTGATGAAGAAAAAGAAAATGAGTCAGAGTTGGAAGATGATTTTGCTAGCCCTGTTGGAACTGATAGAGATGATGAGGAATGTGTTGCTGTTTTTAATAAAGTTAAATCATTATTAATAAGTACAAGGGTTGTAAATCTAGTTGAGCATAGAGGTGAAAAACAAACTGTTATTGAGGAGCATGGAGAAAGCGAGAAGCAACAAGTGGGGACCAAAGCAACTTCTAATCCTTCTATTGATGCATTAACTTTTAATCCCTTTACAAAAGCAGCAACTTCCAATATTTCTAATGTTGATAAGGAGAGGGCAAGGAAGGAAAGAGCAGCTGCTTTTAGTAGGAGGTACAAGACTCTTAATATTGCTAAGGTTGTTGTTAAATGTCAAGCTACCTCTACTTTCACTAACCATGTGTTGCAATCTCAATTACCTATTGATAATCATCAATATTCTGATAAGGAAGATAAAGACAATGAAGGGAGAAATAGTGATGATCTAGGCTGCTTGTACTTGGATCTTTCTTCAGAAGAGGAAGATGAATTTCATGTGGCAATTAACTTACCTCCAATGGGACCAACTGACATTTACTTCAATCAAGAGTGGGAAGTTCCTTGATTTGACGTAGGAATGAGATTTACAAATGCAAACCAGTTTAGGGATGCCATTAGAAAGTATTCAATTGTGAAAAGGTGTAAGTTGAAGCCTATAAAAAATGAGCCTATAAAAAATGAGCCTCACAGATTGAGATACCACTGTACAGCTGCAGGTTGTGAATGAGAAATTTTTGCATCAATGGACAATAAAGCTAATTGCATTTGGGTGAAGACATACAAAAAACAAGTAAAATTTCAGCCATGACGATGCATGAACTTGCAAAGTATTGGAAAAGAAGGATTAGGGAAACTCCTTTCATAGCATGCAAGTTTATGATGGAACAAACATATACAGAGTTAAGGGTGACTGTGCATTTTGACAAGTGTGTGAGGGCAAAAAGAATGGTCATAAAAGAGCTACGAGGCAATTTTAAAGATGAGTATGCCATGCTACCTAATTATGGGGCTTACTTGTCAAGCCTAAATCCTAGTAACACAATTGAAATTGTTAAGGAAATGAATGAAAATGGTGAATGTGTCTTCAAAAGAATTTATATTTGTTTAGGGGTTGTGAAAGAAGGTTGGAAAAATGGATGCATATATGTGTTAGGGGTGGATGGTTGCTTTTTGAAAGGAGTTTGCAAAGGTGTGTTATTATCTGCTGTTGGCCAAGATAGAAACAATCAAATGTACCCTGTGGCCTGGGCCATTGTTGATGAAGAAACATGGATTCATGGGAGTGGTTTTTCTTATTATTAAGGAAAGATCTGGATTTAGATAGTGGGAAAAACTTTACCTTAATATCTGATAAGCATGTGGTAAATTTTGAGCCTACACTAAAGCAAACTATTTTTCCTCTTTTGAAAACTTAATAAAGTATTAATCATATTTCTTTCTTTTTTTAGGGAATTAAACATGCTCGAGATGTTGTATTTTCTAATTCAAAGCATAGGTATTGTGCTCGTCATATCTATTGCAATTTGGCTAAGAGAAGTAATGTTCATAGGACTAATGAGTTCAAAATTGCATTTTGGAATTGTGCAAAGTCTACATTTCTAGAAATTTGGAGAGAGAATATGGTGAAACTAAGGGCAGTTTCAGATGAAGGTTATGCTTAATTTAATGGAAAAGGATGGTAAGTTCTGGTTTAGAGCATTTTTTCAATGTCATTCAAAGTGTGATTTTGTAGACAATAACATGTCAAAAACATTTAACTCATGGATTCTTAAACCACGATGTAAAGCACCAATTAGCATGATTAGGGAGATCATAGAGATGTGCACTGAACGATGTAGGGATAAAAAGTTCAATGCATCTAGATAGCATACTGATGTGTTCCCTAGAGCTTGAGATAGACTTAAACTTCATATGGATCTTTCTTATGCATGTGGTGTGTTATGGCCTGGAGAAATTGATTTGCAGATTTATGATGGGTTGCAATCATTCACTCATGTAGTTAATTTTCAAGAAATAACATGCACATGTAGAGTTTGGCAAAGCACTAGTGTTCCTTGCCCACATGCCTTATGTGCCATTAATTATCAAGAGTGGAATCCAAATGACTTTATTGATGTTAGTTTAAAGAGAGAAAAGTACCTGGTAGCTTATGGCTAACCATTGGAATTTAGTAAAGGTGAGGAAGTGTGGAGGCAGTTTGATGGAGAAAAGTTGCTCCCACCTATTATAAAGAGCATGCCCGGTAGGCCAAAAAAGAATAGGAGAAAGGCAAGGTTTGAGCCTAAGAAGATTAAAAAGGGAAAGAAGACCATAATTTTAAAGAAGGGAACAATTGTGATACATTGCAAGATTTGTGGGGGAGAAGGTCATAATATGAAAGGATGTCCAGTGAAGAATAAACAAGAATATGCACAGTTTAAGGAAAGTCAAGGGACAAGTACTACAACATCTAGCTTTACCAATGCTAAGAAGGTATGTAATACTTTGTTATTTATTAAATTGATGATAATTTATTATGTGACAAAAAAAAGTTTATTCATAGGGAAAAATGAAGATAAGCAATTGTGATGGAGGTCAAGGTGCAAATAGTGTTGGTAAGGTAAGTCATTAGATGTTTTGAATTAGTAGGAAAAAAATGCAAATTTTAGCTTCTTATTTATTCTAGTTCTGATTGGTAGAAATTGCAAATTCTAATTTCTTATTTATTTTGGTTCTGGTTGGTATTAAATTGATGT